TTGCAGCCACAGGAGGTTGTAGTTTTGGGAGTGACACCAATCCTGCCAGGGAATCCAGATTCCTATGGTGACCCTGGGCTGCTTCCTGGCGCTCCTGCAACCGCTTTGTGGAACCACGTTCCCTCCTAGACCCTGGTGGTGCTTACCCCGGAGCTCTGACCCATGCCAGGTCCCCTCCTGAGCAGGGTGGGGGTGTCGGGGCTCCCCTGCTTCGTGCACATTTGCTCCCAGCACTCCAGGGCTGCCGGGAAGTGGGAAAAGCGGAGCAGGCCCGTCCAGGCGGCCGGATTGCGAAAGGGCCAGTGCTGGGCCGAGTGTGAGGGGGCCCCGGGGAGAAGGGGAGGGATGGAGCCCTGAAGCCATGGGATTCTCCAGACCTTCTCCTGCCCCGACTGCTCGGGACATGACCTCATGCTCTCAGGGATGTCCTGGCATGGGACATCGACAGAGAGTGACTGTGTCACCCCTTAACCTTCTCAAGGAAGGATAAACAGAGCGAGCTTCCTCTCCCTTGTGCTGGCGGGTTTCCCAGGTCTCTTGTGCTGCTCCTCTCTGAGTCCTCCCAGTTGTCAGTGCCTGGGATGCTCCATGTCCCCCGTGGGTGTGTCCAAGGCTGCTGCTGAGCCAGCATATCCCCCAGGGGCCTCTGTGGCCTGGCCCTTCCCTGCTGCTGTGGCTTGGGATGTCATCCCTGTGCTGCAGGGAATGCCCCGTGCTGATCAAACACACGGACTTACCCAAGGACCTGCCTCACCGGGAGCTGCCCCTTCCTGAGCTCTGTTGGTTGTTCACTGAGGTTTTGGTGGGGCAGTCTGATTGTCCTGCTCTATGCCCAGTCAGTGCTGAAGGACACACATGATTTGAACAGTCCTGGGCCTGGGGCACCCCCACCAGCACAGATGACACCTCTGGAAGAGGCAGCCCCTGTGCAAGATGCAGGGCAGTGATGGGGACAGTGCCTGGCCGTAAGTCACCTGCCAGGGTGACTCTGTCCTCTGATCCGTCACCCACTGGGACAAGCAGAGCCATGGGAGCAGTTTGAGCAGTGTCATGGCTCCTGCTGCCATGTGGGGCTGTCCCCTGCCCTCAAGGTCCTCTCACCCATGCCAACCTCAGCAGAGCTGGGCTGAGGCTGAGGCCTGGAGGAAGCCCCAGGATTTTGACTCCACAGTACTCTCAGACACCCCACCACCAGCGCCAGCTGCGCTGCAGGCTGGGATGTGGCTCAGGGCCTCGTGCACACCTGGCTGGGACATTCCTGAGGTTTCCTGGGCAGTGGCAAGAACCTGGGCTGCTTCCCGGCTCCCACGCCCAGCGCTCACTGCAGCCAGCCCGTCCTCCAGAGCCCTTTACCCTCACAGTGGAGTTCTGCTGAGCATCTGTGCCTGGGCATCACATCCAGAGTGGCACATCCAGAGTGGCACAAGCTCTGGTCCAAGAGGAGACTGTCCCAGGCTGAAGCTGTCAGCAGGGTGCTTGGGATGCTGAGGTGGGCTCCCCATCCAGAGCAGCAGGCAGGGTTGGAGCAAAGTCTGCGAGCAGAACGAGCAGCCGGGCAGCAGGAGAGGAGCAAACGCGCGGCTTGTGCCTCAGAGAACGGAAAAAGTGATGTGGACAATGAGAGCCCTGTTAGCCTGGCTGCCCGGGACATGGACGCGGGCACGGAGCGTGTTCGGAGAGGGAGGTGCTGCAGGAACGGGGAAGGAGCCGTGCTGTGCTGCAGGGAGCTCACATGGCAGCTGGCCTGGGCTGGGCATGGAAAAGGCTTTGGCCCCACAGAGCACAGCTGGGAATATCACTGGGAATATCACTGGGAAACTCTGAGGTGAGTGGCAGAGCTGAGGAGCCAGAGCAGAGGAAGGACAGCGGGGATGAGAGATGCTGGAGCAGAGCTGAAGCAGGACCCAGGAGCAGAGATTACAGACCCTGGAGGTCATGTTGCTGATCCTTGGAAGGGAATCGGTGATTTGCTGCACAAAGCCCAAGCACTTTTCAGGTGCCATGTTCTGGTCCTCTGTGTTTCTGAATGCACATATTTTAATTTTCCTTGTAGCCAAGGATGTAGGCTGCACAATGCTGATTTACCAGGCTGTCCCTATTCCCATCTCTGATTCCCCCCCATTTCTATCTCTGCAGTCTGTACCAGGAAGGTACTTTTTTCCTCTTCCTGGCACAGTTTTGCTTGGAAAATCATGTGATCCTCACCAGAAAGCCCACGGAGTGGTGACTTCCCCATGTAACCACATTTTAGTTCCAGCAGGTGACCAGTTTTAATCCACTTAGCAGAAGGTGCACTGATTTTGTTGAGTGCTAATTATTCCTTAAAAGGTGGTGCAAGATGAATCGAATGCCTTCCAGTCTCAGCCTGTTATATCAACACAGTTGCTCCAATTAACAGGACCTGTGATCTCATAAAAGGCCATTCCCACTTCCTGACACGGGTTATTTCTGCCGGACCGTGGAGATTGGCATTAATTGTGCTGCTGTCCTTTGGGGTTGTAGTGACCCCGTTGTGAAACTGCCCAGTTCCCCAGCAGAGCATCCTGCTCGCTCAGGAGCTCTGGGGAAGCTCCAATGCTAAGGAAACACACCCCAGGGTGTGTTGCAGTTAGCACTCAGGGGGTTCACATTTGTGTGTCAGGACAGCTCTGAGGGTTTACAGCCCTTCCTCTGGGCAGGGCAATGTCCCCTTGGTGACCCAGGGGTGGAATAAGAAGTTTTGTTACTCCTGTGAGATGGCAAACTCATCCCTTCTCTGTTCCCAGGCGGTGTGGAGATGAGGATGGAGAACTCCCATTCCAAGGCCAGAAATCCCCTTTCTTAAGCCACTGGCAGGGCTGAGGTGGCCCTTTGCACCCTCCCTTCCTTCCTGCTGGGTGGGTAAAAGGTTCAGCAAAGCATTTCCCTGCTGTCTGCCCACAAACACACATCCTGCTGAGCTCTGGCAGTGCCAGAGCAGGCAGCTGAGGCACCAGGAGCCCAGAGCTGCCTGGGCCACGTCCCCACCAGCTCTGTCTGTGTCCCCTGTCCCCCAGTTGTGATAGAGGAGAGAGCCAAGCCCACCCTGATGTGGTTGCTCCGAGGGAGGTGATGTGCTGCACAGAATTAAAGGGTTGGAAAAGACCTCCAGGGTCATGGAGTCCAACCTTTGACCAATCCCCACCTTGTCAGCCAGACCAGCGTAGTGACTGCCACATCCAGTCATTCCCACCACTGTGTCTGGCGTGGAACTTGTTACTCCTCACTCTCTTCCTGAGCATCTCTGCAGGCACCAGGCTCATCCCGAGGTTCTCACTGCTCCTGGTGGCACCTCCAATGTGACATGTGCCCAAAAAGGGCAGGCAGGCAGCAGGGCTGGGCCCTGTGGAGGCTTGTGTTGGTGTTGTGGGTGTGGAAAAGGGGCTGGCACTGGGCACCATCCTGGTTCATCCTTGCCTTGGCCCAGGAGGCATTCCCAAGAGGCTGGAGGGTGGGTCAGGTCCTCATCATCTGGAAAAGTGAACCAAGCAGGAATGGGGCTGATTCCTCTGTGAAAACCCTGCCCTGGAGGCTGGTGGGGAGGTGGAGCAGCTGTGCCAGCCCCCAGCTCTGCGTGGGGTTTGAATTTGTTTCCCTTTCTCTGTGACGCTGCAGCTAAATATGAGAATTTTAAATCACCCCGGGAAAGCCAACATTTGGGGTTTTTTTTTAATGTTTTCTAATGGCAAGCACGATCTGTGTGAGTGCAGCGGGGAGGATCTGTGCTCAGGGGGCACTTGGAGACAAAGACATCCTGTTGGGGGGCTGCCCTGGGGTGTTTTGGGGGAATGCTTTCCCACCATGGAAGGGACTGGCAGGGATGGTGGGCAGTGGTCAGTGAGGTGGGCATGGGCGAGCATCGGTCAGAGCTTGTCAACACCCCCCATGCAGAAATGCTGCTCCTGAACTACAGGATCCATGGGAATAGCACACTGGGAAGGGAGGGCAGCTCACAGAGAAGGGTTTTCACTATTGTTTGCCCAGTACAGGAATACCACATCTCCCTCAGGTATTCTGGGGAGCCACAAATGTTGTCAGAGGAATGGAGGAACGCGGCACAGAGGAATGTGAACGCTCCGGCTGCCTCGCTCCGAGCGTGGGCTGGAATCCCCTCAGCCAACAGCCGTTCCCTGCTCCTGCTGGATCGAGCTCCTGGCTGGTCCAGCCGGGCTTTCCCTGTGCCCTGAGCCTATTCCAGCTCTGGCAGCTCATCCCCCTCCTTCCATTCACCTCTCCTGGGCACACCCCTGTGCCCACCTGCCCTCGCTGCCCTTCAGATGTGACCAGGCAGCGCGGTGGGGGCTCAGTGGGGGCTGTTGGCAGAGGGGGACAGGGGCACTGGGCAGGTCCCTGACAGCCCCAGCAGGGACTGTGTGTTGGGGACACTCTGGCCAGGACGAGGCACGTGGCTGTGCTGGTGCTGGGCAGAGAGTTTAACCAGCACAGTTTTGTAAATGCAGGCAAACCCGATGGGAAGAAATGACGATGTCTGACTCAGTTCAGAAGGCTGAATTATTTCTTTATTATAACTATGCTGAAATATATTAATATAAAAGGAGGATATTAAAACTACATACTACTTTCTCTAACACAACTCGTGACCCTCTCTCAAGAGTCCAGCCCCAGGTGGGTTGGATTGGGTTGAATTGGGTTGGATTGGGTTGGATTGGATTGGATTGGATTGGATTGGATTGGATTGGATTGGATTGGATTGACCATCAGGCTCAAACAATCCTCACCAGAATCCAACCAAGCACTCACTCCAGGTAAACAATTCTCCAAACACATTCCACATGGCAAAAACAAGGAGCAGAAATAGAAATTATTTTCCCTTTCATTTCTCTCTGTGCGCCTCTATGAAAAATCCTGAGAGGGAGAGAAACATGCTTGCCACAGCACAGAGCTGGGCAGGGGGGGGCTGCATGGGGGTGCTGAACCCCAGCATGCCCTGACCCTGTCTGCCCCTGCAGGGCCACGCTGCCATGGGAGGCTGCAGCACGCAGGCACGGCTGGAGCTGCTGCTGCTGCTGCTGCTGCTGCTGGGCAGCGCCTGGCTGCGGGTGGGCAGTGCCCAGCCCACCCCCCCGGGCCCCACGCAGCCCCCCGGGCCCCAGCTGAGGTTCCGCCTGGCCGGTTACCCCCGCAAGCACAACGAGGGCCGCGTCGAGGTCTTCTACAACGAGGAGTGGGGCACCATCTGCGACGACGACTTCACGCTGGGCAACGCGCACGTGCTGTGCCGGCACCTCGGCTTCGTGGCTGCCACCGGCTGGGCCCACAGCGCCAAGTATGGCAAAGGAGTGGGTAAGAGAGGGCTGGTGGGCACAGCATCCCCCTGACAGGGTGCCCGGCAGTGATTGTGTGCTCGTGTGTGCACATGTGGGAGTTTTCCATATGTCAGAGCAGCCCCTTGAGGAGGTGGAGACTCCCCATCTGCAGATCCTCCCAGCCAGAATTTTATTCTTGGCCTCACCTTTGCGCTGCAGCTCCTGCTGTAAACCTGCCTGGTCCCTGCCATGCTCTGTGGGTACCTTCCCTGTTCCTAGGGGATGCTTGGCTCCCCCCTCACCCCTAGGCTGTGTCTGGCAGGGAGGATCTGGCTGGACAATGTGAACTGTGCTGGAAATGAGAAGAGCATCGGGGACTGCAAACACCGGGGCTGGGGGAACAGCGACTGCAGCCACGAGGAGGACGCGGGTGTCGTCTGCAAGGATGAACGCATTCCAGGCTTCAAGGACTCCAACGTCATCGAGGTGAGGAAGCTGCTGGCTAGAGTGGGCAGCAGGTGACATCCAGGATGCCACAGAGCACCCCAGGTGTGGGGCAGCCTGGGAACTCTCACTTTGGGTGCGGGAAAGCAGCACTAGATTTTTCTGGTTGTGCTCCATGGAGATGCACCTGGGAACCCAAGGGGACAAGAGGCACTGAGCTCTCTGGACGAGATTCAATCCTTGGCTGCCCAGGGCCATCAGATGTGGCCAGCAGGAATGCAGGAGTGGCTGTCCCTGTTCCCCACCTATGCCTGCGGACCCCTCTCCTTCATCCTTGGCGATTCCCTGGGGGTGGGCTGGCAGGAGGAGGGGTGATGGGATGGGATGTGATCTGGGGCTGACCTGACCCCCGCAGACCGAGCAGAGCCACGTGGAGGAGGTCAGGCTGCGGCCGGTGGTGGCCGGGGGCCGGCGGCAGCTGCCGGTGACGGAGGGCATCGTGGAGGTGCGCTACAAGGACAGCTGGGCACAGATCTGCGACCAGGGCTGGCACAGCCACAACAGCCGCGTTGTCTGTGGCATGATGGGCTTCCCGGCAGAGAAGAAAGTCAACAGGAACTTCTACAAGTGAGTGAGGCTGGCAGGGAGCCCACAGGGGTGGGGTGTCCAAGCAGGGCCAGGGGCACGGGGCTGGCCATGGGGTAGTGCTGGGGGGACAGCAGAGGCTGTGCTGTTGGGTGTTGTGGCTTCTAAAATCCCTCCCCACCCTGCTGCTTGCCAGTCTGGACAGTCTGGACACTTGCTAACCAAGCTGGGGAGCCGTGGGGTGGCTACCACACACACTACAGCAAAGGCCACTCTAAGAGGAACGCTTTTGCACCCTGGCAGTGCTGTCCCCATCCCAAGGGGAGGTTTGCTGGCATCAGGGGATGCTCCAGCCACACCGTGGCTTGAGCGAGGGGCACGGACACGCCGTGCCTGGCACTGTGAGTGCCCTGAGCAGGCAGCTCCAGTGTTGCCCCACAGGAGGCTGAAACGAGCAGCCAGGACGAAGGGCCACAGCCGGAGGCTGGGCAGCAGGTAAGGGGCCAGGGCGCCCCATCTGCTGAGCCGTGGCAGAGCTGGGCTGGCCGGCCCCACCAGTCTCTGCCGTCAGAATGGATCCAGGCACAAACGGATCTGGACGGAGCAGACTGAAGGCTTGGGCTGTGCTGGCCCAGTAGGACAAACCCCACCCCAGGGCACTTGCTTGTGCATGCTGGGGTACCCCATTCCCCACGAGAGATGGTCTCTCTCCCAAGCTGGTCATGCTCCAGGCAGAGCAGCCCTGTCCTGCACACCAGGCAGGAGTCCTGGCACCCTGGGAGGGGAGCAGGAGGCCTCGGAGCTGAGCTGTGTCTCCTGGCGGATGGGGAGGAAGAGCTGTGGAAATGGGCTGCTTTCTGCAGAAAGCAGCACTGGGGACGCTGGAAAGGCTGTGCACCCCTCCATTCCCTGCAGGATGGGCTGGCATGGGCACCAGAGCCTGTGCTCAGCAGTGCTGATGGGCACAGTGTGGCAGGTCCTGCCACAAGTGCCACATCTACTTGGGGTCCCTGGCATCCTCTGCCCACTCATTCTTGCTGCCTTTCTGCCAGGGGATGGTCTGGCTGCCTTTTCCCTCCATCCCTGAATCCTGCTGCTGGATTTGTTATTGGATACAGTGAGCCAGAGCCCATCCTGTCTGGGCTGGGGCATGGCACCTCTTTCCTGAGCGTGCTGCCACGATCGCCGCCCCCAGCACGGGGCCTTGCCACAGTCCCACCACCTTCCCTGGTGCTGAATGTGCCCTGCACCCACTGTGAGCTCTTCACTGTGACACTCCCTGTCCCCAGCAGTCATCCTTGCCAGCTCCTGCAGCTGGTGATGGGCATTCAGGCTCATGGGTTTCCTCAGGTCCCACCTGAAGGTGCTGGTTGCTCCAGTGTGCTGTTTCCTGGCTGCTTTGGTGCTGACTGCCCCTTTCTCAGTGAGCAGGTGTTTCCCCTGCAGCACGGGAGGAAATGTTTTGTGTCTCCATGAGGCTGCACCCCTGTTCATCTGCCCTGAGCAGGAACTGGCTCCTGAGAGCCACACTGTTTTGTAGGGGCTGATCAATTTGGGGCTGCACAGCCACAGTCATATGAAGGCACAGGCTAATCCAGGCTGGAAGGGACCTCTGGGAGTCCTGGTCCAATTCCCTGGGTGGAGCAGAGCCAGCTGTGGGTTAAACCCAGGACTTCATCCAGCTGGCTTTTGAAACCTTCCAAGGATGGAAATTCTGCAGCCCTGCGGTCTCTGCTCCAGTATGGCACAGCCCTCATGGGCAACAGGCTTTCCTTACCCTGAGCCTGAACCTTTTTTTGTTAGTCATGCCTCTTTCCTCTTGTGCTCTTCCTTCCCTGCTGGTAGAGCCAGGATCCTCACAGCTCCCACCTCAGCCATGGCTGGAACAGTCCCACACCCCCCATCCTCTCCACGCTGCTGTCTTGCTGCTCTCTCTCACACCACATTCATGACATCTTCATGATCCTGGGAGCCCAGACCCAGGTGCAGGATCCAGATGTGGTTTCCTGAGTGTGAATGGGCACTGATGCCCTCTGGCATCTGAATCCCAGCCCTGTGCTGCGTCCTGGGGCTCGCTGGGCTGTGCAGGCTGACACCAACCTGTGCTGGCCTGCAGGGACAGTGGCCAGGCTTGGTTCTGCCTGGTCCCTGGGGCTGTCAGCCCCCTGCCCTCCTTTGGGCCACTCTGCTCTTCACTCCTTGCAATCTCTGAAGTTTTGGCTCTGCTCAGCATCTTCCTCCCTGAGGGAAACAAGCATTTGGGGATGTTGGGATTGCACCTACACCTTCTGTGTGCTTGAACCTCATGGCTCAGCCTGTGCCAGGGCTGTTTCCCTCGCTGCCAGCCTGCTGCAAATCCCACCGTGCCCCATGGCACCAGGGCAAGCACCCTGGGGCTGCCTATGCTGCTTGCTTGGTGCTGCTTGCCAGGTGTCCTGCACCTTGGGGACACAGCACAGTGATGGCTTGGTATCTGGATGAGGACAAAGTCACTACCACACCTGACCGATCAAATGGTGGCTGCTGGTGTGTTTGATCTTTTGGTCTGTGACAAGGCAGAGCAGGAGGTGGCTGCATCCAGCAGTTTCCTGGTGGGATGCATGCAGGAAACTGCATCATTGCTGTGCAGTGTGGCACAGATGATGCTGTTGCACCCCTGTGTGACACAAGAGGGATGCACATGAGTTTTCCTGGTGGCCAAGGTGCCCAGTTCAGCCTCCAGTGAAGCCAGGGCAGGCTGTGCTCCCTGTGTCACTGCTGAGGGCAGAGGTGACAGCCTGAGACCCCGGGCTTTGTGATGATTGTTTTCTATTTTCCAGGCTGGCCTCCAAATCTCAGCCTAAACAAAAGCGCAGGGAGGACGTAGGGCTCAAGAAGAGGTAAATGGCTCCAGTGGAGAGCCAAAGACAGGAGCCCCGTGCAGTCCCACCAGAGCTGTGCGTGTCCCCACGTGCGTCCCTGTGCTGCTGGGGGTGTGGGACAGGCAGCTGGTGTTATGGTTTGACACTGGCACAATGCCAGTGCTCTCATGCAAATGTAATGTCTCAATTGAATGCTGTGAAATGCAACTGAGAACAGAGTAAAGCAGGCCCAAACTTAATAACAGAAAAAAAAAAAAAAACTTTATTAAGCTACTATTATAAAAGAAAAAAAGGAAGGAAAAAAAATACACATAAAGATTAAAATTAAAACCTTGCAAGGCATTTCTCCTCCCACCACCCAACTCCAACAAACCACAATGAGACACAATTCTGGACCTTAATTAGGTTTCCACCCTCCACCACTACACACCAACCGTAACCAAAGAGAGCGAGTTCTCCTGGGAATTGTCATTTTAACCCCTCTGTGTTCTCAGAGGTATGTCCACCTTCAATTGGTCAACATCCAAATTGACCTCTTCCTTCCCAGAAAATTCTTTTTCCGTGTCAAACCACAACAGCTGGCAAGGGGTGGCTGCCTGGCAGGCACCGTGTGTCACCCTGGGGACGGGAGAAGGGGCACAGCCAGCGCATGCAGCTGCAGGCAGGGTGGCTGGTGACACCTCCGCTGCAAGCGGCCACGCTGGCCATGGCTCAGGGCTCCCTTTTCCCTCACAGGCTCTTCACGGAGCGGCAGCAGCTCAACTACCGCCTGCACTCGGTGTCCTGCACGGGGACAGAGGTGCATCTGTCCCTGTGCTCCTTCGAGTTCTACCGGGGCAACTCCTCAGCAGCCTGCGGCTCCGGCATGCCCGCCGTGGTCAGCTGCGTGCCCGGGCCTCTCTTTGCCACTGGCAATGGCCACAAGAAGAAGCAGCGCCAGCAGCAGCAGCAGCAGGGCCAGGTGAGCCCCACAGGGGTGGGGATGAGTCCTGCGGTGACCCACAGCTGGGCAGTGCCCCACGGCCAGGCTCTGTCCCCTGGTGTGTGGGTGTCATGGTTTTTTCATGCCAGCGCCTTCATGCAAATGGAATCTCTCAATTGAATGCTGTGAAACGCGATCGAGAACAGAGCAAAGTAGGCTCAAGCTTAATAACAGGGAAAAAACTTTAAGTTATTATTATAAAAGGAAAAAAAAGAAAAAAATACACATAAAGATTAAAATTAAAACCTTGCAAAGTATTTTTCTTCTTACTACCCAACTTTAATATACTATAGCGAGACACAATCTGGACTCCAATCAGGTTTCCACCCTCCAAACAATTAATATTCAGTTTATTGAGGGAGAGAGGAGTCTTTCTTGTGCTACAGACCCCCCAAGAAATACAGCTGCTACATCCTGTGTTTCTATGCTACATCCTAAATTTCTCCACCCTTCTATCTACAAAAAGCCAATTCTAATCCCTTCACCCTTCATTTTACCTTAGTCAGGCCATGTGCCTTCCCCTTCCCCACCCAGCCACAAGCCAAACAAACAAGAATCTACATTACACACTAACCAAAACTAAAAAAACCAAGTTCTCTTAAAAATTATACTTTCAACCCCTCTATATTCTCAAAAACATGTCTACCTTTAATTAGTCAATATTTAAATGAACCTCTTCCTTCTAAAATAATTTTTTTTCCCATATCAAACCACAATAGTGGGTTGCTGGGTGACCGGCTCCGGAGCGGGAGGTGGGGACGTTGCCCTGTCCTGCACATCCCTGGGGTCGTGCCCAGCGCTGCGTGGTGCCGTGCCACGCTGTGCCACGCCTGTCCCTGCTCCCGCAGCCCCGGATCCGGCTGAAGGGCGGCGCGAGGGTCGGCGAGGGCCGCGTCGAGGTGCTCAGGAGCAGCGAGTGGGGCACCATCTGTGACGACCGCTGGAACCTGCAGTCGGCCAGCGTCGTGTGCCGCGAGCTGGGCTTCGGCAGCGCCAAGGAGGCCCTCACCGGGGCACGCATGGGGCAAGGTGAGGCTGCCGGGGCAGAGAGGCCAAGCGTCCCCTCCTGGAGCTGGGGGTGAGGCATTGTCCAGGCTTTGCTTGGCTGGGGTGTCCTGTGAGCACTGGGATGCACATGGAGCATCCCCATGGGATCACGGCCACTAAACCACGCTGCCCCGGCGTGGCAGCAGCTGTGGAGGCTGGAGGATCCAACTCGTTGTCACAGTGAGCTCATGGGCACTCTATTTCCCCTTCCCTGGGACCCTGTGACTCTGATCAAGATATCCCCAGACCCCTCCTTCCTGCCAGGGAAGCCCACCCTGTCCAAAATCTATACAGACCCCTGACATTTCCTGGTCGCTCTCTTTTGCCCCACTCTCCCCTTGGACACCACAGAATAAAGAGAGCTGAACCAACATATCGGGGGTAAGAGCCTCTTTTGGAAATCTTTGCCATCTCCTGATACTCCTCCCCCCACAGCCTGCTTACCTCTGAGCTAGCCTAGGATATTTTGGGGGGCTGTGCAGGGTAGGGAACATCACTCTCTGCCAAAAAAGAGAGGGCAGCCTTGGGGACGGGGTGGCTCTGAGCATCCCTGTGTCACAGGGCCCTGATTTCTGCTGTCCTCTGGCAGGGACAGGCCCCATCCACCTGAACGAGGTGCAGTGCCGGGGCACCGAGAAGTCCCTCTGGAACTGCCCCTCCAGGAACATCACACAGGAGGACTGCAAGCACACGGAGGACGCGGCCGTTCGCTGCAACATCCCCTACATGGGCTACGAGAACCTGGTGAGGACCACGGGGGGCTGCTGGCTCCACGGGGCTCCCAGCAGCACGGCCTCGGAGCAGGGTGCTGGGAAAGGCCCACGGGATCCATGGGTCCTCATCCCTCCTCCTCTGCACCCCACACATTTCCCTCTGTCCTGGGAGCTCAGGAATTTTGTGGGTGGGAACCCCCGTGAGGAAGGGGGTGGAGGGGAGGCTGTGGGGGCTCTGGGTGCTCTGTGGGTGCTGCTCTGTGAGGGGAGGTGTGGGGCAGCTGCTTCCTGCTGCTTTTCCTGCTGCCAGCCTGTGCCCATTCTCCAGCAGAAACGCCAGAAAAAAAATCACTGTGGGCCAACCAAGTGAGATTTTTTTTAAACTGTGATGAAACCAGCAAATGGAGCCGCTTGTTCCTGTTTGCCCTGGTCCATCGTTTCATCCACTTTGAGCTTTTTTAATGATCTTTAACTCTCTCACACCTGTCATTTCTGAAATGACGCCATTTCAAAATGAACTGTTTTCCCTGAGCTGGTGAGACAATTCCCAAACTCACAAGCGATTTGTTTGCGCCCAAATCCACCAGTTTTGGCGAGTTCCCTGCCAACTAAAGCTGTGCTTGGCTCTGCTCAGTTCCTGCCTTCCCCATCCCTCTGTGCAGGCACTGCAGCACGGGACAGGGGCTGGGGACAGTCCTGCAGCCCTGGGGAAGCATCACCTGTGAGGATGATGATGCTGCCACTGCTTTTCTCTGCAGATTCGGCTGAGCGGGGGCCGGAGCCGCTTCGAGGGGCGGGTCGAGGTGGCGGTGGGGGCTGGCGACGGGGACCAGCCCCGCTGGGGTCTGGTGTGCGGCGAAGGCTGGGGTACGCTCGAGGCCATGGTGGCCTGTCGCCAGCTGGGTCTGGGATTCGCTAACCACGGCTTACAAGTAGGTGCCAGCACCAGCTTGGCCAGGGCAGCAGCAGCCAGCCACCACCACTGCTCACAGGGCTGGGGACAGGGAGGGACAGGGACGGCGGCGGCGCAGGAGGTGGCACAGCGTGGAGTGCCTGCTCACGGCCCCAGGGCTTCCCCACAGATCCGCCTGGCCGGCGGGAGGACAGAGTTTGAGGGCCGCGTGGAGGTGAAGCGAGGCAGTAAGTGGGGCACGGTCTGCAGCGATGGCTGGACCACCAAGGAGGCCATGGTGGCCTGTCGTCAGCTCGGCCTGGGCTACTCCCTGCACGCTGTGACGGTAGGTGCCAGCGAGGAGGGCCCCGGTGATGCCCTGGCGAGCACTGCCCAAAAGACCGTGGGGACAGAGGGATGTGGATCCCTGTGGGCAGCTAGAGGCCTGGGCAGCTGTGGTGGGGGGCTTGGCTGCAGCCTGGCTATAAGTGATCCCGGGCAATCCAGCCACCAGCCCTGCCACCCACCCTGCCTCACCCCCTCACCAGGAGACCTGGTACTGGGACGCCAGCAACGTGACGGAGATGGTCATGAGCGGGGTGAAGTGCGCCGGCCACGAGATGTCCCTGAGCCACTGCCAGCACCACGGCGCCAGCCTGAGCTGCAGGAACACGGGCACGCGCTTCGCTGCGGGCGTCATCTGCTCCGAGAGTGAGCGGCCACGGGGCGGCGGGCAGTGGGAGCTGTGGGCAGTGGGAGCTGTGGGCAGTGGGGGCTGTGGGCAGTGGGGTCTGCGGGCAGTGGGAACTGTGGGCAGTGGGGGCTGTGGGCAGTGGGGTCTGCGGGCAGTGGGGGCAGCAGGGGACCCCATCGCTGGGTCTGGGATGTTGGGTCTGTGGGTGGGGGTTCTGCAGAGGGGGCTGTGGGTGGTTGGGTCTGTGGGCAGTGGGGTCTGTGGGCAGTGGGATCTGTGGGCAGTGGGGTTTGTGGGCATGGGGTCTGTGGGCAGTGGGGTCTGTGAGCAGTGGGGTCTGTGGGCAGTGGGATCTGCAGGCAGTTGGGTCTGTGAGCAGTGGGGTCTGGGGGCAGATCCCATCTTTGGGTGTGGGGTCTGTGGGCAGTGGGATCTTTGGGTGTGTGGTCTGTGGGCAGTGGGGTCTGCAGGCAATGGGCTCTGCGGGCAGTGGGCTCTGTAGACAACAGTGTTGTGGGGCCAAGAGCTGTGATCAGGGGGGTTTGCAGCTGGAGGTCAGTGGCCAATTCCCAGCCAATGCGGAGGGCACACGTCCCCCCCGGCTGGGCACTGCCAGCACTGGGCACTGCCCCATGCCCTCCACCCGCCCCATCCCTGCCGAGAGCAGGGCCCGTCCCTGAGCAGCCGCCTGTCCCCAGCTGCCTCGGACCTGCTGCTGCACGCCCCGCTGGTGCAGGAGACGGCGTACATCGAGGACCGGCCGCTGCACATGCTGTACTGCGCCGCCGAGGAAAACTGCCTGGCCAGCTCGGCCCGCCTGGCCAACTGGCCCTACGGCCACCGCCGCCTGCTCCGCTTCTCCTCGCAGATCCACAACCGCGGCCGCGCCGATTTCCGCCCCAAGGCCGGCCGCCACTCCTGGGTCTGGCACGAGTGCCACCGGTGCGTGCGGGGCACGGCTGGGAGGGGCGCGTGGGCAGGGGACAGACGGGGCTGGGGGTCACGGAGGGGAGAGGGTGGTGCTGCTGCAATGGGCTGGGTGAGAGCAATGCTGGGTGAGGAGGGTGCTGGGCAGGGGTGATGATGGAGAGTGACACCGTGCAAGTGTGGCACTGAGAGGGTGATGCTGGATGAGCGTGACACCGGGTGAAGGTGCATAGCCCCAGTCTGCTGCCCAGGGTCCAATGTTGAATGGTTTGGCTTAGGGCTGATCCTGGATGAGCAGTGTTGGGGACTCCAGGAGGCAGGGACAGGGCTGCAGGCTGTGCCCTACCTCCTGAGACAGTGTGCCAGCTGGCTGGGGACAGCTGTGTCCCCTTCCAGGGCAGGACACAGCTCTGCCCAACCTCACAGTGCTGCCACCTCAGAGCAGGGGCTGTGGGGACATTGCTGGTGGTGAGGGGCTGGGCAGGTGGCAGGGGGGCTGATGCAGGGCAGTCTGCAGCAGGTGCTGGCTCCCTCCCACAGGCACTACCACAGCATGGACATCTTCACCCACTACGACATCCTGACCCCCAACGGCACCAAGGTGGCCGAGGGACACAAGGCCAGCTTCTGCCTGGAGGACACCGAGTGCGAGGAAGGTGGGTGACATGGGGCCCTGCAGCACCTCCCTGCCTGTGTCCCCATCGTGGGGCCAGGCTGGGGGTCTCAGCAGGGACCAGCTGTGTCTCCTCCTGCCTGCAGACGTGGCCAAGAGGTACGAGTGTGCCAACTTTGGGGAGCAGGGCATCACCGTGGGCTGTTGGGACCTGTACCGGCACGACATTGACTGCCAGTGGATCGACATCACTGACGTCAAGCCAGGCAACTACATCCTGCAGGTGCTGCACCTGACCCTCTCCAGCCCCTCCTGCCACCCTCCCAACTTCTGTCCCTGCATCTCAGCCCCCCACACACTTCAGTCACCCATCCTTTTCTCCCACTGGAGCTCAGTGGGGCTGGCGGGTGTGGTGACATGGGACAGTGCCTGTCCTTGTGCTCACAGACGTGTAGGGCTGCTCAGACGTGCTGCCACATGGGTTTTCCATCTCTGAGCAGCACTGCTCATGGGCACATGGCGCACAGGGACAGGACCACCCCACCACATCAGCAGCCACTGGCTCCTTGGAGCTCTCCAGCACACCCACCACAGCTGGGGTGACGCATCCTCTGGGGCTGGGGCAGGGATCTCACTGTCCGTGTCCCACAGGTTGTGATCAACCCCAACTTTGAGGTGGCAGAAAGCGACTTCACCAACAATGCCATGAAATGCAACTGCAAGTACGACGGGCACCGCATCTGGGTGCACAGCTGCCACATCGGTAAGGGCACGGCGCAGGGGTGAGGGTGGAGGGCAGGGACAGGGCTGCAGGAAGCCATGAGGATGAGGATGGGCTGGGATGGTGGTGCTGGGGGCACCTGCAGTGGAACATGGTGGCAGGGGATGCCGTGCACCAGAGCTGGCAGCCCCTGCCCTCTGCCCGCAGGAGATGCGCTCAGCGAGGAGGCCAACAAGCGGTTTGAGCAGTACCCAGGTCAGCTCAACAACCAGATTTCATAGGGCTCCAGCCCTGGGGAGACAGGCATCTCCCTCCCTCACCCCACAGGGTGGGAGGAAGCCGCTGGGAGACTGGCAGGGAGGCCTGATGCCCAGTGCTGCTGCCACTGTGTCCTGCCGGGGACTGCCCAGGACTCGCCACCGGCTGCCCTTCCCCACCTCGGTGGGGGCTGGAGGCACCATCACCTGCACCTCCCAGCGTGGGGCTGCCACCCCAACCACTGGCCAGAAGACCGTGCCCACATCCCCTGGGCTGCGGCACACGGGTACAGCCCGGGAGGTCCTGCACCCCCCACCGCTCCATCCCTCCCATGCCAGCTGCACCCCAAAACTCCCACTGCCCGTTCCAGCCCTGGTTCCTCTCACCCCACAGCCCTCCCACAGCTCACCCCCTCAGCTGGCCCCAGGGCCCACCACCCACAAAGGGCCCCAGGAGCCCCGGGGATGGTGCAGGCGTCTCTGCCCACAGCACTGCCCAGGGGTGGCTCCTACCCCATCTCTCAGTTGTAATTTTATTTCCTCTATAAAGTTGTAAGTTCTATTTCCCAATGGTTGCTGGCACGTCTTTGGGCTGGGACGGGGAGCCTGGCAGGAGCAGGTGGCACGGATCATTCTTCAGGGCTAATCAGCACACTGGCACAGCGTGGGGGCATCCCCTGGCCCCTGCCATGCCTCATCCACACAGCCCTGGTCCCACACCAGCCCCCAGGACCCTTCTCAGCCACGGCTGGTCCTCTGGGAAGAGCCCAGGTGGGTGAGAGGAAGGGACCAGCAGCAGCCTGAGAGGTGGAACTGAGGAGCAGGGATGTGGGGAAGAGCCAGTTCCTCCTCACCAGATGCAGGGCAAATGTTATCGAGCAGAAATCCCCTCACCAGAGGCAGGGCAAATATTACCGAGCAGAAATCCCATCCTGCAGCTGTGACCCTTGAGGAGTGGGGTCCATAGCACTGTGACCCACAAGAACTGAGGTCTCACAGCAGACAGGGGTTGCCCCAATTTCTGTGGGAGCACAGCCCAGCCAAGCCTGTGGCCAAGATGCTGGGCAGGAACACTCGGATGTGACACGAGGGCTGAGTCCAGCCCAGCTCTTACCCCTCAGCTGAGTGCTCTGACCCCACCAAGGGCAGTCCAGCCCAGCTCTCACCCCTCAGCTGGGTGCTCTGACCCCACCAAGGGAGGTCCAGCCCAGATTTCACCCCTCAGCTGGGTGCTCTGACCCCACCAAGGGCGGTCCAGCCCAGCTCTCACCCCTCAGCTGGGCGCTCTGACCCCACCAAGGGAGGTCCAGCCCAGCTCTCACGCCTCAGCTGGGTGCTCTGACCCCACCAGAGGGATCCAGCCCAGCTCTCACCCCCCAGCTGGGCGCTCTGACCCCACCAAGGGAGGTCCAGCCCAGATTTCACCCCTCAGCTGGGCGCTCTGACCCCACCAAGGGAGGTCCAGCCCAGCTCTCACCCCTCAGCTGGGCGCTCTGACCCCACCAAGGGAGGTCCAGCCCAGCTCTCACCCCTCAGCTGGGTGCTCTGACCCCACCAGCCCCTTCCCCACGGCGGGGACCCCGGCTGCTGCCTGCAGCCTGGGAGGAGGAGGGGGCAGGAGGCCCTGGCTCAGCCCTGGCTCAGCCCTGGAACGCGCTGCGGTCGGCGCAGCCGGAGCAGCTATGCCAGACACGCCGCGATTTCCCCCGGGCCGGCGGCGCTGGCCGGGGCAGCGAATTCCTCCGGCGAGGCTGGGGCTGCTGAAAGGAGTGCTGTTCTCATGGCAGGGGCAGAGCCGCCCCTTGCCACAGCACCCTGAGGAACTGTGCTTCTTTCATGTCCCAAAAGCAGCAGGACCGGGCTCGGCAGTGCTGTCACGGCCCGACGGCTGCATTCCTCTGGGCTCCGGGCTGCCCTCGCCGCTGCTCCGCTCCAGCGCCGGCTCTTCCAGGAAGGAGAGGAACAGCCGGAGCTGCTCCTTCCCCGAAAGCCCTCGGCAGCCAGCTGTCCCCAGGGGCCGGGTGTGTGTGGGAGCAGAGCTCCAGCACCGACAGCGAGCCGGGGGTGGGACAGGCAGAGCCCCAGCCCCGGCTGTGGCTCCCATCCTCAGCCCTCTTGGACATCAGGGCCAGGAGATGCCGCCCCAGCCGTCACGAGTTTGGCATTGACACCAATTTACCAATTTACCATGGCCTGGCAAGCTGCTGCACGGGAGGGGATGTGGACACAGGGTGACAGGAGCAATCACAGATCTCCCAGCAGAAGGGATGTGACCAGATGGCCGTGGCACACCAGCACTGCTGCACTCCAGGGAGGTAATGCCGGTCCCAAAGGGGCCACACAATCAATCCATGGCACGACAGCTGCCTGCCAGGTACACAGAGGAGTCAGATCCCAGCCCAGGTGGGCTCCAAGCAGGTGGCAGAACACCAATGAACACTGATAAGGTCCCTGGAGGCACGGCGAGTTCCTCCCCAGCCGCGGGGTCTCATGCGGGGACTGACAGGAGGAGCAAGGTCCCACACAGCCCAGCCTCCACCAGGCAACTGCTGCTGCCAGGGGAAGGAGGTGACACGGCCGTGGGGGCCGCTAGAAAAGTGCTTTATTTGAACACAGAGAGGAACGGCTGCGCCACACGTCACCCAAGCACAGGCCCCTCTCCTGGCCCCTCTTGTCTCTGCCTGGCCAGCACAGCCACATCTCAGTCCTGCCCTCGGCTCTGGCTGGGTGCTCTCTGCTACTCGGTGACCTCGGGGATGACGCTGACCAGCAGGGTGTCGTAGCCGCGCCGCACCAGCAGCGCCAGGCTCTGCTGCGTCCGCACCGCCTCGTACACGTCCTCGGCGCGCCGCGACACCGTCCCGTTGATCTCCAGCACCACGTCCCCGGCCTTCAGCCCTGCCCTGCAGGGAGAACGCGGATCAAGCACGCAGAGGGTGAGGCAGACGCTTGGTGTTGTCCTCCAAGTGCAGCAGGAGCTGTGGCAGCAGAGGTTCTACAGCTGCACTTAGCCAGCAAGAATCTGGGAAAAGGTTCCCAGGTGGTTTCTGCTGTAGAGACCGAACCCTGCTGCTCTGGAGGAAAACGCATCCCACAGCTGCTCCCTCACCCAGCCCCAATCCCACGCTTACTGGTGTGCTGGGGAGCCGATGATCACCTTGTGGATCAGCACGCCGTAGGAGATGTCAGGAAAGGTGGGGTCACGCAGCTTCAGCTCTGCCAGGATGCTGCACAGTGAACATCAGCATCAGGGATGGAGCTGGAGGCAGAGCAGGGCTCTCACCCCACTCCCTGCAGCTGCACAGCCTTAGAGACCAGGCACAGAACCTCCCCTCTGGTGTCCCTGTACCCTGCTGAGCACGAGCCACAGTTGCCAGCCCCAAACATCGTCATCCTCCTGTCAAAACAAGAAGGATGAGAATCCCAAAGGCACCAGGGAGAGCTGGAAACCCCTGGAGCAGCTGCCAGCTGGATCAGAGCTGTGGTGATGCACATCCCCAAGTCACATCACCCTTCCCAGGGTCAGACCCACCCCTCCTCTGCTGCGGTTTCACTTCTCTGCCCTAGCTGGGCAGGATACACAACACAAGCTGAGTGTAGAGTCAAAACAATCCCAGTTGCTCATACTTTCCCACAGATTTTAGGATTTCTAAACCAAATCTTGAATGAAATCCAGAAGTGGATGCAACACTCCAGCTGGATGTCTCCAGAGTGACAGCATTCTTCCCTCAAACACTGCATCAGCTCTAATCCCTGCAGACCCACACACTCAGTCTCTGCCCAGCTCTGCTCCTGTCATGTCCCTGCTCAGCCAGTCAGGGCTCTCCACGTGGCTGTGGTCTGTGCTGAACTCAACCGTGCTGTCCCACAGCCCACTGCAAGCTGCCCTCCCTTCCCAATTTCACACAGCAGAGGTGGGAAGAGGCCTCTCAAGTTCATCTCACCCAACCCCCAGCAGGCTCAGTCAGGCCAGGCTGCTCTGGACTGTGTCCAGCTGGGTTTTGAGGATCTCCAAGAACCCTCCAGGCAACGTGTGCCAGGCTCTGAGCACCCTCCTCATAGTAAAAAACAGGATTTCTTGTGGACTCTGACACATCTCTGTGCCCACTGCCTCTTATCTGGCCTGGGCACCACACACAGAACAGGGTCTGAGCCTGAACCTGTGCCCAACATGGATCTTCTCCTTCCCGTGCCAGGGAAAGGTTTCCAGATGGAAAAGTTCAGGGTGTTCAGGGCAATCACCCGATTCCAAGGCGAGCAATCCCTTGTTGGGAGCCCTTCCTGTTGGGCACAAACAAGCCTGGCAGTCAGGTGCTTTCCCTGGACTGGCTCAGGGGCTGGAACCACATCCCCGGAGCCGTGTCCGAGGAATTTCACGCTGCCTTCTGACAGACTCGGTCGCTGCAAGCGTGGCCAGGGAAGCAGGAGGAGGCTGGGCCGGCCTCCCACATCCCTCGGGTTCTGCCGGCTGCCAGCACCATCTGCTGGGCACTGGGGAACTCGCCAGACCTTGAGGAGGGCAGAGCACAGCTCCAAAAAGGGTTTGCCCAGCATGGCACAGCAGCACCAGCCCCATGAGGCAGCTGAAGGTCTCTTAAATGTGGCTGCAAGAGCCAAAGAACCAGAGCAGGTGGTGACCTTCTCCCAGAGGTGAGAGCACAGGTCCTGCTTGCTCACATGGGCACTTCACAGAATTATTTGGGTTGGAAAAGACTTTTAGGATCAAGTCCAACCATTCCCCCAGCTCTGCCAAGGCCACGACTGACCATGTCCCCAGATGCCACATCCACAAAGCTGTTGAATCTCCCCCAGGGATGGAGATTCCAGCGTAGCCCCAGGCAGGTGTGCCAGGGCTGGACAGCCCTTTCCAAGAAGGAATATTCCCAATATCCAACTTCAACCTCCCCTCGCACAACCTGAGGCAGTTTGCTCTAGTCCTGTCCCTTGTTCCCTGGCAGCAGAGCCTGACCCCCACCTGGCTCCACCCTCCTGTGGAGAAGGAGAGCACTTTTTATCTGCTCACAGTCTGCCACCAGTGAAGAATCTTCCAAGTTTCCAATTTACCCATGAGCCAGCCTACATTCTAACCACAACACAAGCACAAAGATATTTGAGAGTGATAGCTTAATCCTCCCAAAACCAGGCATCCTCAGTTAGTTGGGAAGATCCCAACACATCCCTGCCCCAACAGGACCGGTCTGTTGGCCCCTGAGCTCAGGACAGGTACCTGGGAGTGAGGGTCAGCATCATCACCCCGATGTACCGGCGCTTCGACTCTGCATTGCCAAACCAGGAGCCTGTGGAAGGAAAGGACATGGAATGTCATGGCTGGAAAACACAGACCTGCTTAGAACAGTGCTGGGCTGAGCCCTCACAGCCCTCAGGGCAGGCAGCATCCAGAGCTATTCCAAATCCCTACAACAGCTCAGTCCAGTTCTCAGCACCAGCGGGAGCGTTCCAGGTGTCGCATTTTGCACTATGACTTGGCTTCCATGGTCTGTCAAAATTTTGACAGAGAATGTCCCTCCCCAGTGTCACAGAACCAGACAAAGCAAGGCAGCAGTTGCACA